GAAGGAGAGGGAGAGGGAGGGAGGGAAAGGGGAGAGAGGGGAGGGAGAGAGAGAGGGGAGGGGAGGGAAGGAGAGGGAGCCCGAGGGAGGGAGGGAAAGGGGAGGGAGGGGAGGAAAGGAGAGGGAGCCGGAGGGAGGGAGGGAAAGGGGAGAGAGTGGAGGGAGGGAGAGAGAGAGAGAGAGCTCAAACATCAGACACATTTCCCTCTCTGCTGTTAACTAGCTGTTGTCCATCCAGTTGGAACATATCGGTACAGGCAATCCTCGACTTAACGACCACAATTGAGCACATCCACGTCGCTAAGCGAGACGTTTGTTAAGGAATTTTGCCCCCTTTAATGACCTTCCTGGCCGCAGTTGTTAAACGAATCACTGCAATCAATAAGTCAGTGACCCTGTTAGGTAGTTTCCAACGTTGACTTTGCTTGTCAGAAGCTCGCCAAAGGGGATCACGGGACCCACTGCGACCGTCATAAATACAAGTCAGTTGCGAAGCCTCCGAATTTGGATCACGTGACGCTGGGGGGGGGCGCTGTGACCGCCATGTGAAAAACGGTCTTAAGGTCGCTTTTTGGGACAATCACTAAACGAACCGGACGGCCTGAATTTTTTAGCTACCAGCTCTGAGGATTGTGTAGATCTGTTGCGTAGTTGTCCACACCTGTCGACGGCAACCTTTTCCGAAAGACGTGCCGAGGGAGATTTTTGCAAATCTCTGCCCTGTACGACCCATCGGGGTTGTTGTTGCTTTGGTAACTTTTGTTTTGTGTTTGTGTCGTCTCAACCTCCCTCATTTTTTGAGCCAAGCAAAGCCGAAACGAGGCGGTTGACCCATAGATGGAGGGTGACGAGGAGGAGCAGATTGACCCGGGTCAGAACAAACTCGGGCTTGCCTTCTTCTTTTTTTCTTGCTTGCTTGCTTTTTTTTTTAGCTGCAAAACATCTCCACATATAATTTGGCACGTCGGCTCTGAGAAACAGGAAGTGGGTTCCGTGAAAGGCTTTGCGTGCAATTCTGGCCCGCGGTTGCCAAATTGCTAATGCGCTTCGGAGGGCGGTCTAAAGTTTCGGGTTAAATGTCGGGGGGGTTGGAGCTGTGGGAAGAGGGGGGGAAACTGCAGGAAATTTTACCACCATCAGCCCCCACACACATTCCCCTCCGGCCTGTTTTTGTGGGTTTCCTGCAAGTCAACGTCTCAGCTCTACTTCATCCGGCGGAAAAAATCATCTTAATAATGATGATGATGATGATGATAATATAGAATAATATAGAATAATAGAAATAGAATGACTGTGGCAAAGGTAAGCAAGGGGAATAGAATAGAATAGAACAGAACAGAACAGAATTTAGAAATAGAATTTAGAAATAGAATTTAGAAAAGAAATAGTATAGAATAGAAATAATGGAACGGAACGGAACAGAATAGAATTTTTTCCCCATTCTACCACCCTTTTTGCCCCAGTTAAGTCAATCAGTGCCATTGTTAAATAAGTAACACAATTGTTAAGTGCATCTGGTTTTCCCTGTTGCAAAAGGGGATCACATGACCCCCCCCCAAAAAAAAAAACATTGCAATTGTCATAAATATGAACCACTTGCCAAGTGTCCGAATTTTGATCCCAGGGATGCCTAAGTGTGAAAAACAGTCATAAGACATTTTTTTCCAAGCTGTTGTAACTCTGAACGGTCACTAAATGAACAGTAAAGGACTATTGTGTGTGTTTTTTAAAACATGCCTGAAGATGCTTTCTTTTCAACCTTGCCCCGTAAGAATTAAAAACCAGCTTTATCTCCAACTCTTAATTCTCTCTCTCTCTCTCTCTCTCTCTCTCTCTCTCTCTCTCTCTCTCTCTCTCTCTC